TGCGAACCCTGCAAAGCTATGTATTGTTGGAGTAGTCTGTGGTTATAAGATGTTGCATGGCATTCATATTTAGGACGAGTCTATGGTTGTAAATTTTTGTGTAGCATTTACAGACCTCTGGCTTTATTTAACCTTGAGGAAAACAGGTGAGACCCCTGTGGCAGCATGCATTTTCTTTATAGGCCCCCCAAAGTTTTGGCTGCTGTCGGCTGCCCTCATAATATTCCCCCAGCACCTTCATCATCTTCATCTGGAAATAATTAACCTCCTGCCTTTCAAAGGGTGTATGAGTCAGTGCTCACTAGTGTGTGTGTGTGTGTGTGTGTGTGTATATATATATATATATATATATATATATATATATATATTTGTATATGCATGCTTACGGTGGCCACCTGCACAGTCAGGTATGGAAGAGTGCAAAAGGGCTGTCTGGATGCTGGAGACCCAAAAGATCCAGTCAAAAGTCAAAGGCCTGGAGCTCACTGTAGAGTCACATGTCAGTCCATGTCTGGAACCCAAAGGATCTGTGGTGGGAGGCTGAAGAGTCTGTGCAGCAACACTAAAGGGTCTGCACTGGAGGCCAGGAGACAGATGTCCAAGATGATGGCGCAGACTGGGGCTCCTCCAAAGAAACAGAAGCGAGACTTCCTTTTTTTCCCCCTTTTTATTCCATCCAGGCTCCAAGCCTATTGGTTGGTGCTGCCCAGAGTGGGTCTTCCTTCTTCAGTAAGTCCATCATCCAGTCTCACAGTCAGAACTATGCTGGGCGTTTCTTACTTAAGTTGACACAACAGTTAACTATCACAGTGTGTGTCAGACCAGTCTAGAATGTCCATCTATTTTCATTTGAAACAGAGGTGAGAAGAAGTAGCTCTTCCATTTTTACTGGGACACATTCTTTCCTCATTAACTGTAGTTCATGAGGGAATTGCATGGAATATGGGGTACAAATCCCCCAATATGTGCCCTGAATATTCGCATCTCAGGAGATGGATTGCTTCCCAACTGAAAGCTCCAGTGGTCACAATAGGATCCACACCTCCCCTACATGAAAATCACATGTGGGATTGTTTGCCTGTAGCCTATGAGGGAAGCTTGCAGACTTGGCAGTACTTGAAGAAGGCACCACAGCAGAGTGGTCCATGTGGACATGGAGATTTAACAGGCAGGTGTGGAAGGCCCTTTCAATGCAGTGTGCAGTGCACAAGAACGTCTGTGTGTGGCTTTTAAATCAAGACTCAACGTGACATTCTGAATTGTGTGAAGAAGAGCTCAGGCAGTTCAATTATCAGAACAGAAAGCAGGCACTTCGTGTTTTATGGACCTTGCTAATGAACGAGTCCCATGGCCTCTGCTGGACCAGCTTCCCAGCAGTCTGCCAGCCTGCTTCCCACACATCTGCAAATCCATCAAGCTGTAATGCATGGCTGATGCCAACAGAGGCTGCAGTCTAGGCCTTTCTTTCTGGCACAGAGAGATCTCAAGTCATTAATAATTCATTCTAGAGTAATGAACATAGCTGTACCAAGTTGTGAGATGTAATAATCAAGTGACAGATCAATTTATTACTTCAGTGTGCCAAAAGATGATAGTCAGTGATGAAAAGGTGAAAGTTTTTCCCTCAAAAGTTTCCTAAGACTTAGGGTGTTTTTTAAGTTCCAAAATAAAATGGATCATTAATAGGGAAATGAATTAATAGAGAATGTTGAATAGCCTGTAGGCTATTTATATGCAGAGTTGCTGATCCAGAATTACTGTACCTTTTTTTCCAAATGCCTTTGGGCATTGGGCCCTGCAAATCAGAGTAATTATTACTCATTAGTTAAACCTTAAGAAGTGGAACACAGCTTGAGACTTTACAAAGGGAGTATGGGATAGTTCAAATGGATTTCCCCCAAATCATCAATAATAATTTGAGGTTTATGTGTAAGTAGTTGGGCCGAGAATAATAGTTCATGTCTCCTAAGATGCCCCACTCATCTGTTAATGCCTCGCTGAAAATTCCCGCATGCCAAACTGTGCTCAGCCCTGGTTCAGCCAATCAAATACCACAGTCCCTGTCATGGCTTTGACTGAGCCTGGCAGATCAACAGTTTGTCAAAGCAAAGAAGAGTTAGAATATGCTGCAGAGGAAATGATACGGGCAAAGGCAGAGAGGTGTGAAAGTGGAAAAAGGATGGAGAGTGAATTACTCATGACGCATTTCCTATGCATTATCACATTTGATCTGTACCTAAACATTGTGAAATAGGTGTACCATTCACTCCAGCATCCCCTTTTATAAACCGGAGAACCTAAAGCTTAGTGTTTCAGCATGACGAGTTACTTTCCCAGGGACCCAGAGCTGGGAAGTAGCAGAGGAAGGCTTAGAGATGAGTCTGGGAAAAGTGTGCTTTTTATGAGTTTCTCCTTTGGATGTAGCTCAGTGGTGCAGAGCTTGCCTAACATGTGAGGCCCTGGGTTTAATCCTTACTATCTCAAAAATAAAGCCAGGCATGGTGGCACACGCCTGTAATCCCAGCACTCAGGAGGCTGAGGCAGGAGAATCGTTGCCAGTTCGAGACCAGGCTGGGCTACAAAGTGAGCTCGAGACCAGGCTGGGCTACAAAATGAGCTCAAGCCCAGCCTGAACTGTGTAGGGAGACCCTGTCTCAAAAAAAAAAGGGGGGGGGGCACCACAGATGTATTGTTACAGTTATCACGTCAATTAAACAACAGCATCATTGCTAAACATTTCACATAAGCTAGGCCATTGTATTCACTGATAAACGACCAGAAGAGGTGTGAGACTATTGTTTTTAGCAGAGGAGTGTCAGGGGCAGAGCTGGATTTCAGACTGTCACTTGTGGTGGCAGGCAGGGAACGCTGAAGCTAGAAGTTTTAGAATCAACAGCCTAGTTCTTAGCCTTTTGTTTCAGTCTGATGTAGGGTGGAAAAGCAGGGTGGTAAAAAATGATCATCATCCAAACCATATATTTTTATACTGGTCTACAATTTGACAGTGATTTCACACAGAAATAGCTTGTTCACTTGCACAAGGGACTTTTGTGAAAGGAGGGGTAGGTCTAATGACCTAGCTCATTTGGGAAGGAAGTAGAAGGACAGAGAATTCCCTTCCCACACATAGGAGCTGGTATGGAAAGGAGTGATGTTATGAGCAGCTTGTAAATATGCATATTTGATGACTGACGGAGGCACAGGACCAAAGCCGCTCCTCCTTGCCAGGTACGAACTTGACCATCTGCGTTACTCTCTCAGACTGACAGTGCCGTGTAAGTCTGGGAAGAATTGAAAGTTATGGTAAACCCAGAAGACTCAGCTAGAACTAAGAAAATGTTTACGAAATGTCTTTATGGGGACTAGAAATAGGCCGGGATACTGGTGGCAACTGTCCCTGCTTCAGGTGTTGCCTAGCAGCCAAAAAACAAATTCTCCTTCTGACTGGGCTGTGCCATCATTAAAATTCCATAGACCTCACTGCACCCTGTCCCTTCAGAGGAGGAAGTTAAATTAGATTCTTAGCCTCAAAAATTATAGAAAAGCACACAGACACTGATAAAATTGGCTGATGTAGTATTTCAATAAAGGCTCAGTTTAAAAACTGGCGCTCAAGGTATAAAATCTCTTTTCCTCCTACAAAATCGAGGTATGCAAGAGAAACACTGCAGGCATTTATAGAATCGTGAGGAAAAAGTGCTCAATATAAATAGCACTAAATGGTAGGAAGGTAGATCTGTGCAAACTGCCCATCTTTGCTCAATATCCCTTAGGTTCAAGTTAATAATGAATAGCTTCCTTCTTCCAACAGGTGATTTAGGGAAGCTCCTGATATTTTCTTAACAATAATAAATGGCATGAGCTTTTAACTAGTTTCTTGTCAGTTCTTCACTTGTGTATTTTTATATACCAGGCCAGCAAATGAACAATTGGGTTTTAAAGCTAGATCCTAGTGTGGCCTGCACTTGGAGTTTAGATATATGGTTTGGGTAATTGTTTAATCTAAAAATATGTATATGTATTTAGTAAATTACTCATACCCACATACTACAGGTCCTGTGTGTTTCTTAAATTTTGAGTATAAATGACAGAACAAACAGCCTCATACATGTGTGTACAGTAGTGCTTTTTTATTTCTGTTTATGCCACATTTTAACTTAATGTGAGCCACATGTTTAATCTAATGGGGCTTTAATATTTTGAGTCTAAAGTGCTGAATTTCCTGACTTGGTTTTAAACACAAGATCTGCCTATTTTAAAAGTTTGGTTTATTTTTTGCTGTGTTTGTGAATGAATTAAAGCCGTCAAAAGTTTTTATATTTGCAGTAGAGAAAATGCTAATGATCAAAGTGGTTTAAGCAATAACCAAGTACATAAGTTGTAACTAAGAGGGATTAGCAGTTACTGGGACTTGCAAAACAGCAACTCAGATGTGCAGAGATTCATAATTTGGCAGGTAGCTGTTTTGGCCAATTGATTGTTTTAGGCCAACTGAAAGTCGTAAGAGATATATCCTAGATCAGTCTGTTTTATTTATTTTTTATTTTTTAAATTTTTATTTGTTTATTTTTTGTCTTTTTGAGATAAAGTTGTATTTATTTATTTATTTTTTATCTTTTTGAGACAGGGTCTCGCTATGCAGTTCAGGCTGGGCTTGAGCTCACTTTGTAGCCCAGGCTGGTCTCGAACTGGCAACAATCCTCCTGCCTCAGCCTCCCGAGTGCTGGGATTACAAGCGTGCACCACCATGCCTGGCGAAGTATTATATCCTGAAATAGCAAAATAGCCTGGATGCTAAATAAAAATGTATAAACTTTAGTAGGTAAAAATATATGTAGAAAAGATTCTCTTAATTCATACTTTCTAAAGATGCCCGTGCTTTGGCTCCTACAGAAGCAAAATCTATAGATATGAAGATGGTAAGGTAGGAAGGGTACAGGAAGGCCAGCTGTCCCCAATGTATTATCTCATTTTTACCTTGTTTTCTTCCTTTTCCCCAGTGTTGCTAACAACCATAAGCAGAATTTGATGACCGTGGCAAACCTTGGCGTGGTGTTTGGACCCACCTTACTGCGGCCTCAGGAGGAAACAGTAGCAGCCATCATGGATATCAAATTTCAGAACATTGTCATCGAGATCCTAATAGAGAACCATGAAAAGGTAATATATAATCATTCCCTGGCAAGGAAGAGTTTATTTTGGAGAAGGCTACATCAGAACTGGCCTTCAGATTGACATGGGTTTGCATTACTAATGTGTCTTGCACTGTGATGATGATGAAATTGCTGATTATGGTGACATAGTGGCGATGATAATTGTAAGACTGCCAGTCGAGGTGACAGCAGTGGCAGTTGTGGTGGCAGCCATGGTGGTTATGGTTATGAGCCGTTATTTTGTACCAGAAACAGTGCTTAACACTTTACATAGGTTGTCATTTTATCCTCACAATAATCCAGGGAAGGAGCTACTGTTATGAGCCTCATTTTTAAAATATCCTCTGCCCATTTTTCATTTGGTTTTCTTCTTTGGAATTTATGAAGCTTTTAATATTAGGAATATTAACCTTTTTTTCATTAGTGTTACAAGCAGTTTTCCCATACAGTTTGCCTTTAGACTTAATGATGTGGGTTTTGTACGTTTTGCTGTGTCTGTGTAAAGTGCATGGATGTACATTGGGGTTTCTGGATTTCTCATGATTTTTCCTATCCCACTGAGTTATCTCGGAGCTGCACTTAGAAACCTGAGAGTAGGGGACACGAAGCTTCCCTCATCTGCTCCACCCCAGTGTTCCTAACAGCAAATCTCTAAGAAGCTTCCTCCTCTGGGCTTATGAAGGGTTCCTTAGGTTATCATTTGGCAGCCACAACTCTGAAATCTCTTTAAAAAAAACTCCTTTCCCTAAATAAAAATTTTGCCTAGAATGGTGAGTTAACCATGGAGGGTAAATCTGGAATCTGACTACAGTGCTACCTTGGTACTACTCATCCTTAATTGGTTCCCAGAGGCACAAATACCAAAAAGGAGGAGTCCCAGCAAACTGTTTTGGCTGGAAACGATAGTGAGTCACAAGGCAACTGACACCAACAAGTTCTAACTTGCACTTTAAGTGCCAAACAGAGAATGCATACTGGGACAAAATTTGTGCATCAAAATTCGTCTAGTACCGAACTTGGTGAGTTTCAAAGCAGTGGAGCATGAGGTATGCATGTACTGGTAATAAAAACCACCAGCACTTTTTGTCTAACTTTTTGTGAGAGCCTCCTAATTTGCTTCCACCTCAGACTGTCTACCCTGATAGCCACTGGAATGAGATTTTTAATGTGCTAAATCATCGTATCAGTGGCTTCCCCCTGTATTCAGCATGAAGGCTGTCTTCATAGGAGCCTCAAAGGTCCTCCCTAGCCTCTGTCCTCCCACCATTTATTAAGCCCATCTGATCTCCTGCGTCTTCCCTACAGCTGTGTGACTGCTTGCTGTCTCTTGGACATGGCAGCACCCTCCTGCCTCAAACCCACTTGGAACTCTCCCTTCACTTGGAACACTCACCCTCCATGAAACCATGTGACTCATTTCCTCACTTCCGTGAAGTGTCTGAGTGAGGCCTACTGAGAGCTCTCTATCTAAAACGACAAACAGTGCTAGCCTCCAGCATTCCCTTTCCTCTTTCCTCTGCTTCTCTCTTTCTGTCGTGCTTATCACTTTCTAGCATATTATATAACTGCCTTATTTTAGATCTGTTGCCTTTCTGCTCTCCACAAGGATTTATGCTTCATGAAGGCAAGAACTTTCATTTGTTTTGTTCATTGTGTGGTTCCCGGTTGCTGGTAGGCTCTCAGGAACAGTGCTGGGTGAATGACTGCCAGTGACCTTGTATCTAGTATTTACCTCCTTGCATAGTCCTCTCTGACTCTGAATAGGGCTGGCCAGTGTGATCAATAGAACACTGCAAAAGTGTGATGCACGATTTCTAAGATTAGTCATGAGAGGCCTTGTACTTTGTCTTGGTTTCTGTGTTTGTTTGTTTGTTCTGGGAAAGTAAGCCCCCATATTGTGAGGGCAGTCACGATAGACCTGCAGGGAGGAACTGAAGCTTCCTGCCAACAGCCAGACCAGCTTGCCAGTCCTGTGACCCAGTCACCTTGCAAGTGATGCGTTAGCCCTGACTACGCTTCCAGATTGTGCAGCTCCAGTTGGTATTCTGAGTATAGCCTCATAAAAGAAACTTAAGTCACAACTATGCTGTTAACTCCCTTCTCAATTCCCAAACCACAGAAATAGGGAGAGATGAATTGTTGTTTTAAATTAGTAGGTTTTAGGAATAATTTTTTATGGAGTATTATATGACTATGAGAGAGTCTGTGAATATAGATGTTTATAAGATAACACCATCCCCTGCAAAGCTGTGTAAGCAACATAGTCCTCCTCTTGGAGGGATAACAAGAGATACAGAAAACTAATAATTTATTGGAGAAAAATGCCTTCTTTCTGTCCTTAACGCTGGGTCCCAAGCTACCTATCTCCTTCAAATATAGGAAATCAGGTAGAGGGGTTGTTTGTGCTCTATACAATAAAAATGAACTTGTGGGAAGGGAACAGATTATAAGTACTAGTAATTAATAACCTGGTTTCTAAAGGCAAATCACTTGGGTTTAAATCCACTACTTCTTGCTAGCCATGTGACCAGGAGCATCTAGGGAGTGGAGTGGGAAGCCACTGGGTGGGTCATGGCATATAACCATGCAACAGACAACCCCAAAGTAATCAGGGGCTCGGGACAGTAGAAGTTTATATTTTGCCCAGTAACAGTTCCATGCAAGTACTCTCAAGTGGCATCCTCTACTGTAGTTCAGCAACCCAAATTCCCTCCACTTTTTAGCTCTGCCTCTGCTGATTTTCCACATCAGTAACAGCGGTAAGATTTTTATGGACTATTCCTAGAGGATACTTGCTTTATTTTTCCCCTGCATTTGATTGCCGCAAACCAGTCACATGGCCACATCTAAATGGAGCGAAGGCTAGGAGAAGCAACCTAATTGTATGCTCGCAAGAAAAGGAAGCAAGTTTAAACATCAGCTCACGGGTCTGCCACATCCCTTCAGTGGGTTTTTGTGAGAATTAAATGAGGTGATTTCTATAAAGGACTTAGCCAAAGTTGTGGATTATAGTAAGCTTCAGTAATTACAAACCACTTTTTTTTTTTTGCAGTCTCAACAAAATTCTTTGGAAATAGAGCTCAAGATTGTCTTCAGATATCAAATGTACCCTATCTCCCAAATAGTACTTTTTATAATTTAATCGTATCTTAACTAAAATCATTTAATATGTGGAGACCAAACTCTGAGGAACAAGGACTTTGATTGTTTCATGCCCTTAAGGGATGTGTTGAAGTTTATAGCAAGCAGCACCTAAGGGTTTTTGAACTGTCACTGTATTGAGTGCCCTTGGGTCCCTAAAACTAGCTTGAGAGTTGCTCCTCATAATGTTATGGAAACTTCTATAAACAAATAGCCATCCTGTCTTGGATACAACAAATAGAAGCAGGAGTATGAAATTCATGGTAGGGCCTATAAATATATGCGCAAGTGGCTGATGAAAATGGTTACCTTGTTTGGTGGATTATGAGTTGTATTACTCTCTGATGTTGATTTTGTGTTGTGCAAATAAAAGGTATTATAGTGTTTCGTTATATCTTCTTTTTCATTCATCTGGACTAGAGGATGGGGTGAATTGTAGCAGGATTTATGGTCCTGTGGAAGCCAGTGAATGAATATGAATGAAAACATTCCAGGAATAATGTTTGTCTGAGCCCTGAGAGAGTCAGTGTACCACCAAGGCAAGGCTTTTTTTTTTTTCTGGTACTGGGAATTGAACTCACGACCTCACGATTGCCAGGCAGGTGCTGTGCCGCTGAGCTAAATCCCCAGCCAGGGCAAGGCTTTTTAATGTGGGGTTTATGGTAGGCCACCATTATATTCAAGACCTGTGTATGTGTGTTATTTTAGGGGGAAAACCTTTAATATCCATCAGGTTTGTCTTTTAAGTAAAAGCAACTTACATTAGGCAGCGTGACTCCTTTTTAAATGAACTTCAGGCATAGCCTGGTACAAAATGAGGAGATGTTGCCTCGGTCTCTATTGGAAGCCTCTCGTGTTTGTCCCACAAGAATCCTAAGCATCCTTGGCCAGGCTGCAGCCTCCAGCTTTCTGGAGACAACACTCTGGATTAACTCCCTTATAACAGAACTTAACAGTAGCCCCCAAATCCAGAGCATGTTTGTGTCCTTAGAAAATATTATTAGAGACTTCTTCAAAATCCACAATGTTAAGGTCTTAGTTAATATTTAATAGCATTCCTTTAGGCTTAGCTATAATTTTCTAGAAACACACAAATGTCTAGA